GAGAAAAGCTATATAAAGTGCTTTGTAAACAATAAAGCACTCTATAACTACTAGCTATTATTGTTGTTATTATTAGAATTTTATCATCATCATCATTATTATTATTGCTACTGAGGATGACTCCAGCAATAATTCCAGCTTCTCTGTGTCTTTCTGGACCAAAGTCACTTATGTCCAGTAATCTTTTCAAAAGAGGAACCAGAATCCACTGGGGGACTCTCTTATCTAACTGAAGACCAACACAGTGCCCTGGGTATAATAGCACTGCCTCAACTTCCTTTTTTTTTTAATGTTTAATGAGCAGAACTTCTCCTTGGAGTTGCCAGACCTCTGTGTAGTTGTCTTTGTTCTCCATCAGACAATAGCCAAGCCCCCGACTTGTAGCTCAGTGTATTCTTAGACCCCAGAGGTATTCAATGTGAAAGGCACCTCTGTCGCCAGCTTGAAGGTCATTCCTCTTGTAAAACCCCATGATCGCACTTTATTTAGCAACTTCCCAGCTGTTGTTTTAATCACTGGTTGTCTGCCTTTGGGAGGCTTTGGGCCATGATAGAGGCCACCTTTTTTGAGCCTTTTTCTCCTCTTTTCCGGCCAGTGAGCAGGTTACATTCTGATTTCCCTGACTAGGCTTGTCGTTGTAACTGGGAAATGTGCTTTTCCTCAATGGTTATCTGCCAAGGGATAAAAATAAACACAGACCTGGCCCCCATGCCACTGGACTAATTAGGGCCCCTCCTAGGAGCTTCTAGGTGGACCTCCCAGTGGGTCCACTTCTAGGATCAGAGAATTTTGAGCTCAAGGAGAACTCAGTCACCCAGTCCAACCCCACCACTTCACACAGAAAGAAACTGAGGCCAGACAGGTTTAGGTAGCTCACCCAAGGCCACAAAGTAGCAGAGATGGGATTTGAACCCAGATAGGCCTTGGTATGAGTGATTGGGAATGAAAATACAAAAATTTTAAAATAGATATAGGGAATATCTCCCTTTCAAAGTGGTTTCCTACCTGCTCCAAGCAGATCTTTGTATTTTTGAATCTAACTAGAAATTGAACAGGCATATAGGTAGTGCAGTAGATAGAGTACTGGGCCTGGTGTCAGGAAGACTCATCTTCCTGAGTTCGAACCTGGCCTCAGACGCTTCCTAACTGTGTGTGACCCTGGGAAAGTCACTTCACCCTGTTTGCCTCAGTTTATTCATCTGTAAAATGAGCTGGAGAAAGAAATGGCAAACCACTCCAGTACCTTTGCCAATAAAACCCCAAATGGGGTCATGAAGAGTTGGACACAACTGAAACTAAATGACTGAACAACAACAAAGAAATTGAACAACTTCATTGCACTTTTAGCTTAACTACCCCTATTTTGCAAAATCAGAAGGGTAATCCCCTTCCACTAATGTGAGGGGAGGGGAGAGTAGTAAACTTAAAATCATTCTTGACTCTTCAGAATGTGTATATATATGTGTGTGTGTGTACATACGTATATATATGTATATATATATATATATATACACACACACACATATGTGTATGTGTATATACATATATACATACATATATAGTCACAATGTATTTGAATTGATATTTCCTTCATGGACCTCCAAGGCAGAGCAGAGAAAATAAAAATAAAAGCAGATAGAGTTTTTAAAAAGAACTAACAGAAACCACCTCGAAGCCAGAGTAGGGCTTTCATCAGGGTGGGCTGCTCTCCATAAAAGGAAGTGACTCCTTGCCTAGCCAGAAGATGAGCCAAGAGGACAGTATGATGACCCAAAGATAACTTAACCAATCCAAAGGGAGGAGAGAGTTGAGGCTGGGGCCTGATGGAGGCAACATTGGCCCGGGCAGTTGAATCTCCCCATTGTTTAGCTTCATTGCTCAGTACCTTCTCTCTTCCCCCAGACAGAAACTTGGTCTGGTTGCCCAGCCAAAGAACAAGAACATAGGACCACAGATGGAGCACTAGAAGGCACCTTAGAGGTCACTGAATAAACCCCCTTCATTTTACAGGTGAGAAACTGAGGCCAGGATAGATTAAGAGACTTGCCCCGGGTCAGACAGCTAGTAGTAAGTGTCTGATGGGGGCCTTGAATCAGTTAGTCAATAAGCATTTATTAACTGCCTTTTATGTTCCAGGCACTATGCTAAATGCTGGGAATACAAAGAGAGGCAAAAGACAGTCCTTGCCCTCAAGGGGCCCAAACTCTAATGTGGGAGACAATAGGCAAACAACTTGGATGGGTTGTCCCAGATTATTGCCCCTCCCACCAAACTTCCTTCCACTAAGTGTATTCTGGGGAAAATGGAAGTCAGAATGTGTTTCTCATGCCAAAATGGTGCCAGTACATAAAGTGAGTTTTATTGGCTTGTGGATCCCTACATTTTCCAGCCAAAGGAACACAAATAATGCCTATGGTGGTAGAGAAGGCTCTTGGGAGCTAGCTGGGCTGCTGAAACTGAATTTCTAGGATGCCACTAGTTTGCCAAAGTTAGGGTCAAATTGACTGTCTTAGTGTTTCTGATAAGGTGGTCACCAAACAATTACACATGACAAAACATCAGAGCTGAAAGGACTCTTGAAGGTCACTGGGTTCAACTTTCATTTTACAAAAGAGGAAACTGAAGTTTGGAGAGGAGAGGAAAGATCTTGCTTAAAGTCACATCTAGTAAATGGCTGAGCTGGGACTAATTCTGGTCTTCTGCCCACAAATCCAGTGCTTTTTCCACTGTGCTAGGCTGCCCTCCTAGTAATTATGAAGATTTCAATCAGCTCCACCATCTCCCATCTGAGTATCTTCTTGGCTTGGAGACCATCAAACCAATCTAGTCCATTGATTAGGCCAAGATGGACATTGGAGTTCCAAGAATATTTATCCAAGTCACTTTCAAAGAAGTGAAAATGGATAACCAGAAAGCTAAAACAAAGTTTATTTCAAACTAACCTGAGATAGATTTCCCCACCCTGCTCTATCATTAGTGCTAGCACTACCTTCCCAGTCCCCCAGGCTGGAAACTATGAAATCATCTTTGACTCCCCCTCCCCACAGCCTCCCCCACATGCAGACCATCCTGAATTACAGTCCTGCTGCTTCCTCCCTGGCACAGTTTCTCAGCTCTGCTTTTTTTTTTCTATGCAGCCCAGAGTCTTTTACCTTGCTTGAACCCCCTTACTCTTAGATTGTGGCCACAGCCTTGCCGCCTACTCCATCCATATAGCCCACATGGGGCAGCAAATACCCACCCAAGGAAAACCCCTTCAGCAGAGAGGGTAAGGGGATTTCCCCAAGAGGCAAGCTCATCATCTGAGAGAGGTCATAACACCCTCCCTTTGGCTTTTCCCCCTCCCCCACAAAATCTCTCTGGTCTTTACCCTGTATGAGGGGAGCCTACAAAATATGAAGATTTTTTTTTCAAATAGATATACAAAAATGGAAAGGTAGCCACATGCATGTATCCTCTTAAGTACTGAGCAGGGATTAAGGGCCAGGGGTGGGGAGAGGGAGGAATGCATCACTGTTATTCTAGTCATGCTTCCATTTCCCCAAACATGCAGTCTGGTGTCAGGGAGAGAGCGCTTGGTTCAAATCTCAGTTCAATTATTCGCTAGTTGTGTGACCAAAAATCAGTTGCTTCTAACTGAGGAAGTTGGGCTAAATTGCATCTCAGGCCTCTGTTATAAATTTAAATCCTATATGTTGGAGTGGACCTGGACCTGAGTTCAAATCCTGCCTCAGACACATTAGTTGTATGACCCTGGGCACGTCACTTTTCCAACCTCAGTTTCCTCAGTTATAAATGAGGGGGTTGGATTCAATGGGCCTTCAATGACCCTTCTAGCTGTAACTCTGAGATTCTTCTTGGGAACTATTTTCAAGGCCTCGATAATGGCAAATGTTCATTCTTGGATTTTGGAAATGACCAAAACAGAGCTAAAACTGGAAATTTTCACATCTGGGGCCCCAGTACAAGCTGTGTCCAGGGCAGGCGGCACCAAGCATAGCCTTGACTGAATAGCGTAAGGTGGAGGAGGAAGGAAGGACACCCCAACCCACAGTCTGCTAGCCTCCTATCCCAACTGATTATTCTTGCTAACTTTTGGATGAACTCAACCATGATGGTGAAGGGTCTTGAACAGAAGATAAGTTGAAGAAACTGGGAATGTTTAGCCTGATAATGAGAAATTCAGGGGGGCTTGAGAGCCATCTTCATTTAGATTAGACTTGTTCTGTTTATACGATTCAGAATCAGGATTGATGGGAAGAAGTTACAGTAGAAAATTTAGGCTTAATGTCAGGAAACACTTCCTAACAATGTGAGCTCTTCCCAAGTAGAATGGATCACCTTAAGAGATGGTGGGCTCCCCCTCGATCAAGAAGAATAGATGACCTCTTGTCAAGTATCTCATAGTAGGTATTCCTTTCATGCGTAGGTTGGACCAGATGGCCACCGGAGTCCCTTCTAATCCTCAGATTCTGTGATTCTCTGGTTCTGTGACTACACCTGCTTATCAGTACTCTCGAAATTCAGCAGCCTGGGACAGAGTCCTGGTTGCCCTGGCCTCCTCATTTCTTCTATAAAATCAGAGAATTGACTAAATATTCTCATCTGTAACATTCTGATCCAACTTCCAGAAGTCATAAGGTATTGTAATATTGCTCAGTTGAATTAGATGGCCAAAATAAACTCTTTCTCTGTTTCTCTCTCTCTCCTCTCTCTCTCTCTCTCTGTCTCTCTCTCTCTCTCTCTCTCTCTCTCTCTCTCTCTCTCTCTCTCTCTCTCTCTCTCTCTTTCCCAGAGGACTGATTGCACTCATGGACAGTGTTTGTTATCCTCAGATCATATTTATAAAAACACTTTCTCACAAAAATGGGTTGACGATGCCTCCTCCAAATGCTGGCCCCTGCTTGGTTCCTCCGACTCTGGGGCATCAGTGAGCCACTGATGACCTAAGACTTGAGCTAACCCAGTTTCTGCTGCTCAGTCCAGGGCCCCATACATACCAGTTCTGTTGGTTGCATCATCAGGCCTTCAGTAAAAGGCTTGAATTTTCCTCCTCAGAATGCAATGCATTTCCCTCTGCATGTTCCCTCTTTCAAATACGTTAATGTGGGGAATAGGAAAGGAAACCTGGAGCTGACGGCTAACAGTGAGACCATCGATGTCATCTGCTCAAAGATGCTCACTTTCACAAGAGGAACAAGGGGCGGGTCTCCACATTTTCTGGAATCCCTTTTGAAGCCTAGGAAAGAGAAGATAACATCCACTGAGCCAGGGGCTTCATCTGGGCAGATCTACACCCTGCCTGTTATAGCTGCATCATCTGGAAATGCCCCTGGGAGAAGGAGATGCAGACCCAGTGGGTGTGTAGCAGGAGGTCCCTTAGCCTGGCATTTTACAAGCCTTCCCACTCTGGCTCTAGCCCTGCTGTACTTTGGGCACTCTACATTCCAACCCAACTGGCCTTCGTGCCATTCCCCAGCCTGGGTATGTAATCTCTTGCCTCCATGTGTTTGCGTAGGCTGAACCAGGACGGCACTCACTCCTTAGCTCTGATTTATAGAATCTCTAGATTCCTTCAAGGGCAGCTAGATGGCGCTGCAGTGGATAGAATGCCGGGCCTGGAATCAGAAATACTCATTTTCCTGAGTTCAAATCTGGTCTCAGATACTAACTGGCTGGGTGACCCCGGGCAAGTCCGATACCCTGTTTGCCTCAGTTTCCTCATCTGTGAAATGGTCTGGAGAAGGAAATGGAGAACCATTCCAGTATCTTTGACAAGAACACCCTAAATAGGGTCACCACTGAAAAACCACTCAACAACAGTAACTTCCTGATTCCAGATGGAGTGCTCTAATCACTCCACCACCTAGCTGCCACCTACCTCATTTCTTTACAACCACCCTGGGAGGAAAGTCGTGTATTAGTATCCCCATTCTACAGATGAGAAAACTGAGGCTCAGAAAGGGGAGCCAATGTCATTGGGAGAGCACTAGACTTGGATTGAAGACACACCTGAATTCCAATTCAAGCTCTGCACCTTGGCTAAGTTATGTCATCTCTCTGGGCCTCATTTTCTTCAGCTAAAAACCCAGATGATCTCTGAGGTCCTTCCTAGCTCCACCTCTCAAGTTTCAATGTTGGGAATCAAAGGATCATAGAACAAAGCTCTCCAGCTTCCTCCCCAGCATAGAGTTCTCATGGAAGGGGGCTAGGGGAGGTAGTCTGGGACAGGTTGGGTAACATGGAGGACACAATTCCTCTTGCCTCTAGGAGTCCACCTGGGGTTAGAGAGTGCCTAGGGAATGGGGAGACAACAGGTAAAGCCCTCAAACATGAGGCAGCTGGAGGGTCCCTTGTGACTCACAAGGCCCTCAGCTACTCGGATCTACTGTAAAAGAATCCCACAGCCCCCCCCCCCCCAAACTCTCATTGTGACTGGAGGGCAACAAATGTGTTTTCTCAGTCAGGAATCTTCTTAGGAGGAAGTTCACGACCACAGCTGTTTCACTGCCTGTTGATTGAGTGGATTAATGCCTAGCAGCCTGTCAGTACAGCTGTGTTACAATATACATTTTTGTACCCCAAATATTCCCAGCCTGAAGTGCAAACAGAATAGGCAGTAGTCTGTATGGCTTGATTGGAGGGTCACCAAAAGGTCCTCATGCCCACAAATATCTTCCCTACTGGTCTAGAAATCCTACCATTAAAGAGTCATTTATTTGAGTTAAGGCTTTGTGTCACCAGGAGGCCCCTATGAATTTCACCTTAGAAAGCAGAGATCAGGACCCTGAGACCATGGGATCCAAGGCCGGGGAGAGAAAAGGGCAAGGAAGAGTAGTGAGAGACAGCCTAGTGGATCTGGGAGAGTGTTGGACTTGGCTTCAGACCTGGCTTTCAATCTTGCCTCAGATACTTGCTAGCTATGTGATCCCGGGCAAGTCAATGTAATTCTCTAAGCCTCAGTTTCCCAATGTTGAATAGGGACAATAACTGTAGCCCTTGCCTCCTAGGGTTGTTATGAGGTTAAGTCAAGTCAGCAAGCATTTATTATTAAGATTGTCTAGATGTCAGTTATCATATCACCATTGTGATACTAGTGTGATAGGCCCACTTGGGGAAGCTCAATAAGAGATTTTACCACCCCTGGGAAGATGACACTGGGGGAGTGGGTCTGGGAGGAGGAAAAAGGCATGAGAGAAAGGGTGGGCAACACTCAACTGGGCCAAGTCTATCTGGCAAAACACAAGCTCCTCTCTGTCTTGAATTCCCCAGCACATGGCCCAGGAATGGGTACATAGCAGGTGCTTGCTAAGTGGATGTGCAGAAAACCCTTGGGGGGGGCAAGCTAGACAAAAGCTCTTTTCTAACGTCTGCTGCCCCTAAGAGAAGTGTCCAGCAAAGGGGGTAAAAGAGGCCCCCCAAGCCACTGAGCAAATATGAAGCCAGGTCTGGAGAAGCCGGATGTCTTTGACTGTTTACCCAGGAGGGGCCATCCTGGTCTGGCCACATCTGGCCAAATGTGGTCAGTTTTAGGCCACACATTTTAGGAAAGCCATTGACAAACTTGAGGCCACCCAGGGAAGGGTGACCAGGATAGTGAGAGGCCTGGAGACTATCCCACATGAGGAGCTAGAAAGCATCTCAAAGGCCATCTATCTCAACACCCTCCTTTTACAGATGAGGAAACTGAGATCCAGGGTGGTGGTCACTTGCCCGAGGTTGCACATAAAATGATAGATCAAGAGCTGGAAGGCACCCTCAGAGACCATATATCTCAACCCCTTTCTTTTACAGATTAGGAAACTGAGCCTCAGAAATGTTAAGTGACTTGTGGAAGGTTATACATCAAGTGAAAGAACCAGGAATGCTAAGACCAGAGAAAAGAAGACTTGGGGTGGACATGATAGCTGCCTTCTAGTACTTGAAGTGCTACAGAAGAGGAATTAGCCAAGGCCTACTTGGCAGGACTAGGGTCAGAACTAGGGACAATGGGGAGAAATTGACAAGAGGCAAATTAAGCCTTGTGGTAAGAAAAAGGCTTCCCAACGGAGCTGTCCAAAAGTTGAATGGGCAGCCTCAGGAGGTAGTGAGCTCTCCATGCAGCCACTGACCACTTGCTCAGAACAGTATGGGGCAAGTCCTGTTTGAGGACTGCCTGGATCAGAGAGAGGGACTTTGAAGTCCTTTTCCAGCTTGGAAATTTTGGGATTTGAATTCTGGTTAGAAGTGGAAGGCTAGGTGGGGAAGGTGGAAACTGACCTAGTGCTTATTTCTTCTTTCCTTGTGTGAGGCTAGAGCCAGGACTGGCCAGATGCCACCCAAGCAGAGCAGATCAGTGGGCACAATCCGGAACAGACTTCACAGGGCCGGAGTTCAGTGCCTGAATGGGGTCAAGGATTAATTCATCTTTGCTGTTGGATAAACACCAAAGAAACCCAGCTAGCTGGCTTAGATGGTTCTATTAAAATGGCTTACCTCTTGTTTGGATGCTGGAGATGGCAGCCTGGCAGCACAGCGAATTCTAGGCTCTGGTTTTGGGCACCCAATCCATTTTTTAACAGAGTAAGTGAATCTCTACCTCCACTAAACTCCTCCCCTGATGCCTCATGGTAATGGAGAGGAGATCTGCCTCCTCCTTCAAGATACATTCTTGAAGGACGTGGCCGGGAAGCATAAATTCTGGTAGCTTCAACCAAACTGGAAAGGTTTCTAGAAGGTTCTAGCAACATGCCAGGAGCCAGCCTTGTTATACTCAAAGAGGCTCAACACCAGGAGGTCATTCCTTCCCCCCCCACCCCAGCAATTTATGAAAATAATCTACTAAGGCATCAGGAGGGTATGATATGTGCCAAGGGAGGCAGTACCCACACTGAACCCACACTGATGAAATGCCAGGCCCTCAGAGAAGTACGTTACTCTTCAATCTTCTGACTCACCTTGTCCCTAGTTCTGGGCAGAGTCTAAGGCATAAAGGAAAGCGTGGCCTGGGGGTGAGGAGACCTGGGTTCAAGGCCTGTCTCTGACATCTACTGGGTGTGTGACCCTGAGAAAGTCACATCATGTACCACTGTCCCAGGCAATTCTCTAAGACCAGTGGTTTCCAGTTCAAATATAAACGGGGGCCATTAACCTGAGAAGGATCCCCATGGGGCACAAGATGAACTTAGTCTTAAAATGTGATGTTATGGGGGCAGCTAGATGGCGCGGTGGATAGAGCACTGGCCCTGGATTCAGGACGACCTGAGTTCAAATCTGGCCTCAGACACATAACACTTACTAGCTGTGTGACCCCGGGCAAGTCACTTAACCCCATTGCCTAGTCAAAACACACACACACACACAAATTTTTTTTAAAATGTGATGTTATATTTGTTTTATTGAATTTGCATTTATTTTGTTCACTATTTCCCAATTACATTTTAATCTGGTCCATACTGAACTTGTGAGTGATGTAGGTTCTTATGTGGTCTGTGGTCATGCATTTGACACCTCTGCCTAAGACTGCAAGTTACTGCATCAGCGAAGGGAATTTCCATACTAGGTTCCATGTTCATTGAAGAAAACCCAAGTCTAGGCCAAATATGTTTATGTCTATAGGGATAGGGAGTGGACCTGGGATTGGCATCAGGAATTCACACTTATATGCTTTGTGACTCTGGGCAAGTCACTTAGCCTCTAATTGTCTCAGTTTCCTCACTGTCAAATGGGGATAATAATAGCATCTGCCTCCAAAGGTTATAAGAATCAAATGAGATATTTGTACATTTCTTAGCACGTAGTAGGTACTATATAAATTCTTGTTCCTCTTCCCTTCCCTTCCCCAATGGCCAATGTCTGGACATACCAATAGAGGAACTGAGCTATAACAGTATTGACCCACAGAGTGGTAAAAGACTCAGAGGCAGTCCTCCAGAAGGTTGGGTGAACCTCCTACATAGGACTTATATGAGGATATGGACAAAAGTCACCCAAGATGCAAAGGGTTGGGTTGATTGTGATCTGTATCCTTAGAAGCACATACTCATATCAATCACTGAGCTTGTAGATGCAACCCAATCCAATCCAACAAGCCCTTATTAAGTACCTGCTATGTGCCAGGCACCAGGCTGGGCACTGGGGACACAGAGGCAGAAATGAAACAGCCCTTGTCTTTGAGGAGCTTGGAGTATTGAAGAAGCATTTGATCATGCTAGATTGTGGGGAAAACACTCAAACTGGAAAATGCCAAGTGTTCCTTGTATAGGAACTATTCAGCTCTGTAGAAGGGCTTGGGCTACCAGGGTGAGGGCAAAAGTCCAGCTCTAATCCGGAACAACACGGGGCCCCTCAATGTGCTATTTGGAAAATTCAAGACCATAAAGACCATAAACAGCACTTGGCTCTCAATTCTCCTGCATATGGATTAACCATGCTCCCATGATCCTCCTTGCTCCTCCAGCTGCAAACCTTTTAACCATTTGGTCCCTCCCTGGCATCCCCCACCATAAGCCTTGCCAAGTGTGCTGTCCCTGTGTGCTGAAAGAAACCTTTCAGCTAAAAGAAAAAAAAAAAGAGGGAGAGAGAGAGAGAGAGAGAGAGAGAGAGAGAGAGAGAGAGAGAGAGAGAGAGCAGAGAGAGAGAGAGCAAGAGCAGCAGTTGCTTCCCATGAGTTTTACACTATAATTTGGTTTAGAATAACAGGTAAAAGACAGATGAATTTAGTTCAACAGATGCAACGGAACTCTCTGGGGTGCTTTTAAATGGATAAAGCCCAGCGTGCAAAAGATTGGGAATTTGCACAGAGGCACACCCGCTGTGTTCTCCCACCCCCTCTAACTCCTCAAGGCAGAACAGAGGAAAGAGTGTTAGATTTGAAGTCAGGAGACCTGGCCCTGAGCCCCAGCTGGGATGTTCACTGACTCTGTGACCCTGGTCAAGTCAGCTCACCTTTCTGAGCCGTAAGGATGGATAATCCCCAGCTCTAAAACGTGGATAATGTAATAATTCTTACACCACCTGCCTAGCACTTAGGCTGTCGGGAAGAAGGCACTTTGGAAAACTTACAGTTCTAAAGGAATGACCCTATTACTGGGAAGTAGATTTTGATTTGGCCTAAGGAAAAATTCCCTAATGACCAGGGGTGTCCCATTGGGAATGGGCTGCTTTGGTTTAGAGAAATCTTCACCTGTGGTTTGCGAAGTTCAATTGTGGTAATGTTGGTAAAGTGCTGTGCAGACTTTAAAATGCTATGTAAATATCTATTATTTTTGTGGTGATGTCATTGTTTACTGGACCTGTGTTTTCATCAATGTAGGGAGCTCCAGGAATCAAATGAGTTGATATTCATAAAGTGGTTAGCACAGTACCTAGCACAAAGTAGGTGCTTAATAAATGCATATTCCCTTCTTCTCCCTTCCTAGCTGAGGAAATTCCCTCTACCAATTCAGATCAGCCCCTGCTGTGCAACTCAAGGTCTGAAAGAGCTTCCTAGAGCAGTGGTGTCAAACAAATAGAAACAGGGCTCATTAATCTGTACGTAAGGATCCCTGCAGGCTGCATATTGACTTAGAAAACCGTATGCTAACATTGTCTATGTTCCACTGTATTTTTATTAATTTTGTTAGGTACTGCCCAATTTAATTTTAATCTGATTCTGCCATACTTCTGGGAGGGTTATCTTCTTCTTCTTCTCTTCTTCTTCTTCTTCTTCTTCTTCTTCTTCTTCTTCTTCTTCTTCTTCTTCTTCCTCCTCCACCTTCTCCCTGTTCCTCTTCCTCCTGGTTGCTCTTCTTCCTCTCCTCCTCCTCTTTCTTCTTCTCCTTCCCCTCTTTCTTCCTTCTCTTCCTTTCCTCCTCTCTGTTCCTCTTCTTGTTGTTCTTGTTCTTCTTCCTTCTCTTCCTCCTCCTCCTCCCTGTTCCTCTTCCTTCCTATTTCTTTTCTTTCGCTTCTTCTTCTTATTTTCTCCTCCTCCTCCTCCTGTTCCTTTTTCTCCTTCTTACTTTCCTTCTTCCCCCTCCTTTTCTTCTTCTCCTCCTCCCTGTTCCTTTTCCTCTCTCTCTTCTTCTTCTTCATCTCCTCCTCCTCATCCTTGTTCCTTTTCCTCCCTCTTCCTCTTCTTCATCCTCCTCCTTCTCTATTTTTGTATATGAAGGAAAGCACATTTTTCCTATAGGTCTAACTCCCAACCCCCAGGTTAAGAATCTCAAGGTGGGACAGTGCAAGGATGTATATCAGAAAACTTGCCTAAAAGAATGACTCTAAATCCTTAGCCCAATCCTCTTTCGATGAGTTGTATTTGTGCAATTATACAAATTTATTTTTGTCTCTATACCCTTTTTCTCATCCTTTCTTCCTGCTGTTTCTTCTGGAAATGAAAGATTTCCTTTGATCTTGTCCGGCTTCTTCTCTAAAGTGAAACCTTCTCATTTGCCATAGTTAATGACAAAATCCTAGGGCTGGATCTGGGAACATCCAGACTCCAACTTTCAAAAATTAGCTACTTGATTAGCAAAAAAGGAGCCAACTTTTTCCGGTTGTACCAGCTGTGTGACCTTTTGCAAGTTACTTCTCCTCTCTGGGCTTCAGTTTCTTCCTTCATAAAGTGAGAGGACTGGCCTACATGATCTCTAAAGTCCGTCCTAGATGTCACTTTAAAATCCTATGACCTCTACAAGGCAAGAAGGCTTTGTTATGTAATCTTTTCTCTTCCCAAGCAATTAATCTTTCTCCAGCACTTTTTAACTTACAAAGCACTTTGCAATACACATCGGAGGTTGGTAGTGCAAGTATGACCATTTCCATTTTACAGATGAGGAAACTGAAACTCAGAGAGGTTGAAGGGTTTAGCCAAGTCACACAGCAGGTAAGTGGCAGACTTGGGATTCAAACCTAGGTCTCTTGCCTCCAAGTATAGCACTTTCTCCATTGCGCTGGACTCTCCAAGACCAGTGGCCATCTTTGTCTTACACTACTTCTGTCTTTCTTGGGAACATAATAAATGCTTAATAAAGTCTGTTGGAGGGAAATAGGCTCAATCTATACTTGATATTTCAAGTCTATTTTTAGTCACCAATTTCTTTGAAAAATTTAAATAAACTTAATCACCACCAACAAAAACAAACATGGAAAACAAAGGCCAAGCTCTTGTCCAAGTCCTTTGGCCTTTGGCAAGGCAGAACCAAAGGAATGAACAATAAATAAGCAAATGGGTTGATCTGGGTCTGCATCTCCTTCCATGCTACTAGAAATTGTATCACTTTGGGCCCATTTTCTTTTCTTGTTTTCCTTCTTTCCTTTTCTCTTTCTCTATTTCTTCTGTTCTTCCTATTTTCTATACTGAGCTAATAATTTTCCCTATGGGAAGTACAAAATATGTAGCTTCGTGAGAGACTTGAGTTCATATGTTGCTGCTGTTCAGTCATTTTCAGTCGTGTTTGACTGTTTGTGAGCCCATTTGGGGTTTTCTTGGCCAAGATACTGGAGTGGTTTGACGTTTCCTTCTCCAGCTCATTTTACAAATGAGGAAACTGAGGCAAACAGGGTGACTTGCCCAGGGTCACACAGCTAGTAAGTGTATGAGGCTGAATTTGAACTCAGGTCTTCCTGACTCTAGGCCCCTTGCTTTATCTACTGCAGCGCCACCTAGCTGCCCTATGTGTCATATGAGGATCAGTCAAAGGACTTGGGGATATTTGGGCTGGAGGAAAAATAATATTCAAGGGGAACCTGCTAGCTGTCCTCAAGTGTTCAGGAGGGCTGTCATATGGAAGAAAGATTAGACTTGTTCTGTTTGGTCTCCTTTCTGGTTCCTCCTCCTTAATTTCATGGGTCATCAGTGTGTATGAAGATCTATTTCTGTTGATTTCAAGCAAGATATCTTCACCTAAGTCTTTCCATATTTCCTTGTGTAGTTTAAGCTGCCAGTTTCATAATTCAGTCAATAAGCTTTTATTAAGTGTTTCCTATGTTCAGGCACTGTGCTAAGTGCTGAGGACACAAAGAAGAAGCAAAACCAGCCCTTGTCCTCAAGTAGCTTACATTCTAACGGGGGAGATGATAGGCGAACAACTATGTATCTACAAGACAGATTCAGAGCAGGTGGAGGAAGGTAATGCAGCTGAGAATATGGGGGCAGGGCTTCACCCATCCCTGTGGACTGATCCTGTTTAATGGTGCTCTCTCTCCCCACTTTGATTGCCTTGTGTTTACTTCTCTGTACACTGGTAGAACCTCCTCTGAGAACGTAAGCTCCCTGAGTACAAGGATGGTTCCATTCTTGTCTCTGAATAGCTAGCAGCTGAGGGACTGATTTCTGCTCAATGTAAGAAGAATACCTCCCAACAATCGGCCTGGTCCCAAAGTGGAATGGGCTGCCATCTTGCTGGAGGTCTCCAAGTAGAGACTGCAAGACCACTTGCTGGAAGTGTTCAAGTGGGGGCTCCTGCTCAAGGAGAGGTTGAGATGGATGTCTTCTGAGTTCCCTTCCAACCCAGCATGATTGTCTGATTCCCCTGGCCCAGCACAGCCCCCAGGGGTCCAGCAGTCTGCCTGTTGTTCCAGGCACTGGGGGGAAAACCATATTATATGTTATGTGTTAGAGTAGTCTAAAACAGTAAGTTTATTTCCCAAAGTGAGATGAAATGTATACAACACAAAACAAGTATCTGGAGTATGGCACAGTGGAAAAGAAGCCAATTTGGAGTCAGAGGGCATGGGTTCGAATCGAAGGTCTGTTACTAACTAGCTGTGGGATTTTGGACAAGTCTCTTTTTGTCCCTGAGTCTCTGTTTCTTCATCTGTAAAATGAGGGCATTGGCCTTGGTGGCCTCTAACTTGTTGATCCTATGAAGCATTCTGTCCCCCAGCTGATTGATCTATACAATGTTATATAATTGAATGGACTGAACTTTGGGCCAAAGCGACCAACAATAGAGACAATTAGAGAGCTTAATGGAAGGGACGTCGGAAGCATGCCAATAGCCTGGGCTTCCTTGCCCCTCCCTAGTAGCCATCTCTCTGAAGGTCCATGCCACCCATTTCATTTGGAGCAGCTAGGTGGCACAGTGGGTAGAGTGCTAGGCCTTGAATCAGGAAGATCCCAGTTAAAATCTAGCCTCAGACTCTTACTAGCTGTGTGACCCTGAGCAAGTCACTTAACCTCTGTTTGCCTCAGTTTCTCAACTGGGCTATATAAACGCTCATTCTCTTTCCTTCCGTATTTCTACCACCTCTCTGTATCTTTTCTGTGGTAATCTACTGCCCTCTAGCCCTCTCCTCCACGTCCCCTGGTAGCAGCCAGTGGCTCATACCTCCAGCCGTTGCCAGCTGCTTCACCCAGCTTCCAGACTGGCACCTGAGTCAGTAGACAAGGTCACCAGCAGTGCCAGAGAGACCGGGTGGGCAAAGAAAAGCCCCTTCCCATCCCAAGCCCTGAGAAATCTTTTCAAATGAGCAAAGAGAAACTTTGCCAAAAATCAAACCTGGCTTCCCAAATCAAGCTCTGAGTTTAGGAATTAAGTCCTGTTGGCTGTTAAATTACAAGGACCCTGATGTTTTACAGATGGAGAATAAACTTTTCTCAACCTCCTCCCAGGGCTACTCAGAATGAGATAGGGCAGCACATCTGCACACCTATGGGGCTATGTTTGGCTTGAGGTCCCTAGACCCCCTGAAAAAGGCCATTTTTCTTGGGTTTAAGGGTATATTCCATGTCAATTTCAGTTACCTTAGGGGTTCCTGCTAGACTGGCCCCTTCTCCCTGCATCTGATCCTGGTTAATACGTCAAGGTCTCAGATACACTGTAAAAAGAAAAAGTGAAAAAGGGATGTGTGTGTGCATGGGTATGTGTGTGTGTCTGTGTGTGTGCGTGTGTGTGTTTTGGGGGGTGAGCAGAAGGGAAAACTGAACTCTGATTGTGCCCCTAAGCAGGGAATTCAGACAACCTGTAGAACTGCATGAATTGGGAGTGGGGGGGAGGCCTGCTCATAGCCTTCAGATATTGGCTGCCTGCCCTTTCAGCTACATTTTTTTGAGCAAATGACAGCCAGGAAATAACTTAGAAACGTGGGTAATTAACCCTGCTTTTGCTCCACGAGGCAGCTTAGTGTATTAGACTTAGGAAGACCTACGTTTAAGTCCTTGTGCTACATACTAGCTGTTTAACTTCCTGTGTCAGTGCTCCCAGGGAATTCTGGGAAATTGGAAGATGCCAAATTACAGACCTGTATTTGGTGGAGGCTAGTTCCCTACTGAGAGTTTCATACCTACTTTCTCAGCTTTATTGAGTCTCACTCCCCTTCACAGAACACTCTCTGGTCCAACCAAACTGGCATTCTTACTGTTCCTTCCACAGCATACTCCATCTCCCGACTCCACGCCTTTATACTGGCTGGCTTTCATGCCTGGAATATACTCCTTCCTAATCTCTGCCTCTTCAAATCCCCAGGTCTCTTCAAAACTCAGCTCGTGTGCTGCCTCCCACCATCCCGAAGGCTTTCTTGAGCCTCCCAGCTGCTAGTGCCCTCCTCTTCCAAATGACCAGGCACTCGATTTTTGTAGTTAGTGATACATGTCGATATCGTCTTCCTCCAATAGAGCGGAAACTTGGTGATGTCAGGAATTGCTTCACTTTTGTCTTTGAGAATGGCACAGGGCCTGACCCTTAATAAATGTTTGTTGATTGATTGATTGAATCCCCCGCCCCAGTGAAATCACTGGGCCAGATAAAAAATGGGGGTCATGTCACAGAGATTTTCCGTTTTAATGTTCCCAGAACTATTTTTCTGTTCCTTTTGGAAAGACATAAGTGGACACAAATATTTCTCCACATGAGATGCAATTATTTCTCCTGTACAGATACTTATTACCTTAAAAGCCTATGTACAGTATGACCTGGGTCATACTTTATTTATTCTGAGAAACAGCACTGTTCTCTGCAGATCACAAAATGTTCTCCAAGTTGTACCCTGAAGTTCCTGAGCCTAGAATTGGAAAAAGTTTGCTGTGTCCCCCATACCAACCAGTCCTCCTGTCTTTTGAAGTCTGAACGACTGCTCCAAGCAGCCCCTCCCCACTCCTGGACCTTGTCCTTGTCCTAATCCTGATGGCAAACATTTCCATAGAGTTTTACATACATGATCACCTTTGAACACCTCTCCCCACTGCCCTGCCCCCAACCCTGCAAACTAGGAGAGAGATCAGGGCTGGGGTTATGGTCTCACTGGTAGACAGAATTCCCAGGTGAGGCGATTCCTTCTACCAATGTCGGTACCTTCTCTGCAATTGCCTAGAACACTGAGAGGTGGTGACTTGCTCAGGGTCACAACAGCCACATGTGTCAAAGACAGGACTGCCTACAGGACATCTTTCCCTGGAAGTCATTCTGCCTCTACACATTCAACATGTTCCAAACCTGACTCTTTATCATTTCTCTTAAACTGGCTCTTTGTTAAGATATCAGTGTTTCTCCCGGTGGCACACCATTCTACCACTCTCCAGTGTCCAAAATCCAGTGTGATCATTGACCCTTTCTTCTCATATTCAATCATTTACCAGCTCCTACCACTCCCACCTCTAAAGTCTCTCCAGTCTACCCCTTGTGATTCCCTCTATCACCCTAGAAGAGGATTTTGTTATCATTTGCCTGGAAGATTGCAATACCTTCCCACCAAATCTCAATACCTGACTCTTCTCTCTCCCCAATCCAATCCAGGTTTTATATTGCTGCCAGAATCAATTCCCTTATACATACATCTTCTGATGTCAGTTCTCTTCTCAAAAGTTTTTTTAAAAATCTTTTTAGTAGCTTCTTACTGTCTACTGAGTAAAATTCAAACTACTTTGCATGACATTCAAGGCCCACCAGAACCTTGAGCTTTGGGCCCCATACCCAGAACATACTCCCTCCTCATGTCTGTCTCTTAGAATCCCTGGTTTCCTTCAAGGCTCAGCTCATGTACAGGAAGTCTTCCCTGATCACCTTAGTTATTTAGGGCTTTCCTGGCTCTTCAGAGGACAGTGTCTACACTTGTCTGTTTACATGCTATACCCCCTCCCCCAATAAAATCTGATTCAATTCAGGAAGCATATATTAAGTATCTGCTGTGTGCAAGTCACTGAGCTTAGCACTGGGAATTACACACACACACACACACACACACACACACACACATATATATATATATACACATATATACATACACACACATATATCTATATACACATACATACACATATATGTATGTATATATACATATATATGTATATATGTATATGTATATGTATATATATATGTATATATATACATGCACACACACATATATCTATATCTATCTTTAGCAGCTAAGTGGTACACTGGATAGAGTGCTGTACCTGTAGTTAGAAGACTCATCTTCCTAGTTCAAATTTAGCCCCAGACACTTACTAGCTGTGTGACCCTGGGCAAGTCACTTTACCCTGCTTACCTCAGTTTTCTCATCTGTAAAATGAGCTGGAAAAGGAAATGGCAAACCACTCCAGGATCTTTGCCAAGAAAACCCCAAAAAGGGTCGCGAAGAGTCAGATGCGACTGAAAATGACTGAACACACACATATCTATATATCTGTATCTATATTTGAAAAAGGTGTCACATCACGTAGGAGGAAGCCCTGGGAGCTGTATGTTGAAGGTAGAGTGGGATTGTAGAAGGGGAAAATGAAGAGGGTATACTGTATAATCTAGACAAAGGAAGTGACTTGTGCAAAGCTACAGAGGTGGTGATGGCCAGTTTGAATGGAATGAGAGTGCATGAAGAAAAATCCTATGAAATTACAGGTGGGAGCCAGATTGTGGAGGGGTTTAAATGCCAGACTCAGGAATTTCTAATGGAATATAAGCTTCTCAAGGTCAAGGGCTATTTTCACATTTTGTCTTTGAGGCCCCAGGACCTAGGTGAATGCTTTGCATGCAGCACGTATTTAAGAAATGCTCACGAGATTGAATCATTGTCATCATAGGCCCATGAAGAGGAGAGGGAAGAGTGAAGGGCAAAGAACAGGTCATCAGCATAGCAAGGGTTTCTGTTCTTACAGTGTCAAATGGGTGACATCTTTGGTATCAAAGAAACAAAAAATATCTTGACTAAAAGTATTTGTTTGAAGCTTTGTAACCTGGTATTTTTGAGCATCCTCTGATATTTTGTAGAGAATGACAATATCTTTTTCCACCTCCTGGTGAGGACAAAGGTGTGTTTAATGGTGCTGGGTTGCTCAATTCCTCTTTCTCCGATGACCAAATGAACTGGATAATCCCTTAACCCTTGGAGCAGCTTGGCAAATGTCAACCCAAACTCATTTCCGGAAGCTCGCTCTACATGGCTGATGGTTTTTATTTTGATAGTAAATTTTTAAGCAGTTTTCTTGCCCTATTGTGTTAAAGATAATTCCGGTGCCCTTTACTGGGAGGGGGAGGGGTTGTTTACAAATCTGCCCAGGGCAGCTCCTTGATGCTTAAACTTAATCCACTAGGCCTGTCCCGTTGCCAAATGTGCATTAGGCTCAATAGCTTTTGCCTTCCTGGAAGAAGAGAGAGGAATCTTATTTTTTTTTAATTAAAAAAAAAGATGTTTCAACATTTTGGAGGAATTTTCTTACCAGCTCTCATTTACGCAATCAGTTTGGCTTTCCATTATCTGCTGATGTGAAAATCTAAGAAGCCAAGAAATAGATTGCAAAGTACTAGGGTTAGAGAGGGACATAGGGCAGAGAATGTCAGAGCTGAAAGGGATGCTGGAGCATGGATTTGGAGTTGGGAGGGACCTCAGAACAGGGAACAGAAGAAGTAGAAGAGGTCTTAGAATACACAACGTTACTGCTGGAAGGGACCTTGGAGAAATCTAGTCCAGTCTTCTTATTTTTCTGAGGAGGAAACAGTCTTAGATGAAGGGAAATGACTTGCCCAAGGTCACACAGCTAGTAAGTGATAGAGTTGGAAGACCTAGACCAGGGGTGGGGAACCTTCGGTCTCGAGGCCATATGTGGCCCTCTAGGTCCTCAAGTGCGGCCCTTTGACTGAATCCAAACTTCACAAAACAAATCCCTTAATAAAAGGATTTGGTCTGTAAAACTTGGACTTGGTCAAAAGGCCACACCCGAGGACCTAGAAGGCCACACGGTGGCAGGTTCCCCACCCCCGACCTAGACTTTAGTCCTGGTGCTACCACTAACTAGCTGTGTGGCCTTGGGCAAGTCACTTTCCTTCCTCAAAGACTCAATTTCCTTCTCAGAATAAAGGGGATAATATTTGCCATCCTGCTTCCACATCATTATATGGCTCAAATGAGATGATGGGTACAAAAGAACTTTCTAAACTATAGAACCCTGGGTTCACATCCTGACCCTGCCACTTATTATCTGAATGACCCTGGGTAAGTCAATTCATCTCTTCATCTATAAAATGCCAAGGTTGGACTGGATGAACTCTTAGGTCCTTTTGTAGTCTATGACCATACGCCAGCCAGAGGCCCTGAGTGGCACCCAAATCAGGCTCTATTTCCCAAAGCCAAACCCATGGGGGCTCCTAGAGACTGGGGACCCATCACAGGATGCATAAAGCTCTCCATTTATCAGATGAATAAACCAAGGTTGAAGTCATCAAAGATAAGTGGGTGAGTCAGGCAGCTCAGAACCAACCAGACTTGGGAAGAGGATGTCTGCCCTGGTCAGGAGATAGAGCTGCCCCCTCAGTTGAAATAAATATAGAATCAAGCAGAGGAAACAATCCTCCTTCCTCCTAATCTTTGCTCACTTGATTATGAGCTACTTGCCACCTCCTCCCCCTCAGCATGTGTGGTTCCATCTGTGTGGGCGCTCCCTCCTCTGACACAGATAGCGGCCCCTCCACATTGCCAGACCTGGTTTTATGAGCAATCATGGATGAAAATTCATCCCCTAGTGGCCAGGCCTCTGGTGTTTGGTGGGACCTGCCAGGGCAAGTCCTTTGCTGGTAGGACCTTTGAAAGGCCACTTCTGCCATGGCAGTAGACATTGGAAGGAAGAGATAGCCACTTTGGACATCAGAAGATGTCTTTGAAGGAACAGCAGATGAGGAAACTGAGGCCCACGGAGGTCAAATAACCTGCCCAAGCTCACACAGATAGTAAGTGGCAGGGCCAGAATTTCAGCCTCGATTACCTAGATTGCCCCCTGTATTCCTTCCTGCCCCTGAGCACATTTCTTCAAGGTCCAGCTCGTGGACGGGTCTCCTCTCACTTCAGGACTTTCCTCGTTCCTTTGTGCCCTCCTTCCCCGAATGACTCTGTTTTTACTCTGTCCATATTTGGTATTATCTATATATCCATTCCTACTTTCTACCCAAAGGAACGTAAACCCATTGCAGGCAAGCACCATTTTCTTTTTCACTCTGCATCCCCAATACCTGCACAGTGTCTGGCCTACCACAATACCTAATATATGCTTGCTGAATGAACAGATGAAAGAATAAATGCACAGATGGATGAATGAGTGAATGAATGAATGAATGAACAGGACTGAGGGATGGCCACATTGGCTGGACTATGGGGAGAACTCCCTGTTTGAAGAGGCCACTGAGGGGTTTTTGCAATGAACTCCTTTCACTTTTCTCGATGAATATCATCTGAAAATCAAAGATGGAGAACTGAAAGAAAGCATAGAGATTGTCTAGTCTAATACCCTAATAGTCTACATGATGAAACTGAGGGCAGAGAAATCACTTGCCCAAGGTCACATGGGTAGCAAGCATTTGGAGCCAGACTGTCTTGCCCCTATACCATTTTTCCTGCTTGCCTTGGTGGGCAGCATTGGCGTAGTGGTAAGTACCCTGGATGAAGGGGTTTTAGCCCTGGCTCTCCCCAGTAACTCACTTGAGCCATGTCACCCAATTTCCTTGGGCCTCAGCTTTTCTAGATGTCAAATCTAAAGGGCCATAGTGAGGAAGAAATGAAATAATGGCTATAAAAGTATTCTGTCATTCAAGCAGAAGTGGTTACTGTAACCCAAACGATAGGAAATTGCTCCTGGCCTTTGGGCCTTTATCTCCAGCCTGATGCTCAGAAAGCCCTGGGAGTCATTTCCTGACTTATCAGACACCAGGACACCTATTGTGACCCTTAGGTCAACCATTGGCATGAGGAGAATTCTCTTCCTAGAGCTGAGCACACTTTCCAGACACCCAAACAACATGACCCTGTGGACAGGCAGCGTGGTATAGTGTGTTTAAAATCTAGCCTCAGACACTTAATGGCTGTGTGACCCTAGGCGGGTCACTTAACCTCTCTCTGCTTCACTTTCTTTTCCTGTAAATGAGAGGTGAGTCTAATTTGTTCATTACTTTTAGTTTTTCAGCAGGAATTTCATTTGTTCCATATTATGGAACAGGTTGGATGACCCATTGCCTGGCTATGCCCTTTGGCAGTATATAACACCAGAGGCCAGTGGTCCCAACAGAAGGAAGTCGCTGATTCTTCCATTTCCAAGGTTTTCATAGGATTGAGAGCTGGAGGGACCTCATTAAGTCATCTATCTCAATACCTTCCTTTGACAGTTGAGGAAACTGAGTCCTAGGCTGGGGAAAGAACTTACTCCAGGTCAGAGAGCTGGAAGTTATAGAGCTGGGATTAGAGCCCGGGTCCCTTGGAGTGGAGGCTTTTCAAAGCCAATTGGCAGAACAATTCAGCATCCCTTGGCCACTTGTATCCTTTTGTCTCGGAGGGTTGATTTTTATAATTAGGATGTTGGTTGATTGGTACTATACACCCTGGGGCTGGGGAGCCCCTGGCTGAATGCCGATCTACCTGCCACATGTCTTTTACCCATGCACCAGGGAATTCTTGTGGCTACCTTTTGGCTCACTAACTACTCAGCCCTGCTAATTGAATAGAATAACACCAGCAGCAACAACTCACATTTATGAAGGTTTGCTATTTTCTCCTTCTCAGGCCCAGTTGACAGTGGAGCTGGGAAGCATGGGAGCGCTCTTGGGGGGGGGGGAGGTGCAGCACTGTCTCCTCCAAGTGAGGAGAAATCTCCCCTCCACTTTCTCCTATTTTGTGTGGTTCTCAGCCCCCCATCCCTTCCAGCTTGACTCATTTGGTTTCAAATTAAAGGGAATTTTCACAGATAATTCTCTCAAGAAAACTAGTAAACTAACACTTCTGTTTGGTCCAAACAAATTAAGGCTGTTTAAAGTGTTTGCAAGCTGCAAACTGAAGCCCAATTCCTTGGAATCACTGTTGATTTTGTTTTTTGGCCACTGCCGAATATTTCTTCCAATAGATAAAGCTTATCTACAAAGAACAGAATAGCAGGAATCTGTCTTATTTCCCCTCTCTCGCATTATAAAAAATGGTTTGTTTGAGTCTTTACACCACCCCCCCTTTTAGAAACAGAATTTCTCCAGATAGCCTTGGCGAAAGCAATGAATTTTACTAGTCCAAGTGTCCAGTGTATATAGGGTAGTATGTGAGGGAGCAGTAGCCATGTGGATCGGGGTCCCTAGACAATATAATTTGCCCAATAGAGTTTTTTACTATAGATAAAAAGCTGGGGGAAAAAGAGGATAGATGGGAAAGTAGATTATGCACTGTATTTACCCTGTAGATGACAAAGAGAAGAAATCTGTAGTTATATCCAGCACTGTGGACCAAGAATTGTCTTAGATAGGCATCAGCTCTCTGTGTGTGATACTCAGTTAGACCACACATAGCTGCTTTGCTGGGGAAAATCCATTAGGGCTGTTTCATGAGCATCAATTGCTTGAGACCCATTGGGAGAGAGGTCAGAGAAGAGCCCCCCTCTCCCAAGAGTCTATAAAATTCTCATCTCTCCAATGGCCCACCTACCCCTCAGCAGTCACCCAGACACCAGACTCACCCCATTAAGATAAATCCAGAGGAAATAATCCCCATGGCCAGTCCAGGCTCAAGGTATTCCTCAAATGCCCCAGGGAGCCGATGGAGCAAGCTGGGGACAGGGCCCTATGGATGAGGCATCTTGAGTGAAACGTATGGTATGGCAGAAAAGAAATCAGGTGCCTACCTTGTGACTTTTCTCAGCTTTCTTCTCTAGTAAGTCTTCCTCCCACTCCCCAAAGGGCTCATCTGACAGCCAGTCCAACCCGACAGTCTGATCTGTGCATCGATTCCGGCTCCCTAGGCTGAGAGGGACTGTGGGTCTTCCTTCTTTCACCAAAAAAAAAAAAAAAGCTCACAGCTCTCAACCTCCTACCATGTTATAAAACATGGCAGGGAAATGTCAGAGTGAGATCTACAAGAGACTGAGTGCACATTGAGCATTTCCGTTTCCCAGGGGGCAGCTCCCTCTCTCTGATTAATGAGGCTGGGCTGCACCCTGGGACCTATGGGATGAGGCCGTACAGCTTAACACTTTGGGGGGGGGGGGAAACGGACAACTATCTTTTCTATTTATAAGGCCAAAGTGTATTGTCTTTTAAACTTGTGGTCACATTTAGTGTGGGGTTTGTGGTATCGCCCAGCCTCCTTGTTTCTCGAGATGGGCACTGTGGTTGGGTAAATTTTGGTATGTTCCACTGAGACAGCAGAGGGGTATGCCAAGCTCCCAGCAGCCCTTGGGTGCTTTGGGTTTCACTTCTCTCAGGATGGAAAGCAGCAGAATTTGTTCCCTAAGACGGGACCTAGAATTTTGGAGGTGGAAGAGACCTCATCTAGCCCAGCCCCCCCCTCCCCCCACCATTTGACAGAAGGGGACAGTGAAGCCTAGAAAGAAAGTAGCAGAGATGGTATTCAAATACATGTCCTCTGCTCCAAACTTAGTTCTCCTTCCTCTATGCTACCCTGAAGGGGGTCTCAACTGGGGAGGGTAGCAATATATTTTCTCTTTTCCCCAAGACTGATTTAGAATTTAGTTAGCCCTAAAGGCAGCTTAGAGGGACCTAGACTGCTCTTACTCTACTGCTTCTTCCATTCCTAGGGCTCTTGGATCAGAGACTCAGAGTGGACCCCTAGCTTTCCTGCTCTCAGGTTCTCGGGCTCCAATATGATTTGGGACTTAGGGACACCCTAGAGCTTGGGGCACAGTGCAGGCCGGAGGGCTGCAGCTCTAAACTCACAAGCCCCACAGGGCCCTGCCACTGTGACTCTCCTAAGCCAAAGTACAAGGCATGGGCCATATGGGCTTCAGACTTGCTCCTCGGTTTCTGCCACTAAGTTTGGAGAAGAAGACAGGCTTCACAGCACTGGTTGAGAAAGCATCAAGGCAGAGATGAGCCTTGTACTTATAGATTCCATCCACTAAAGTGTCCTGCCATCCTTCCATCTCACTCATCCCCTCGCCCTCCGGACTTTCATTGCGTTGTAGAGTTGATCCCAGGCTCCCGAAGACTCTGTTAATGGAGAACAAGCCCCAAAGTACCGATGAAGGCCTAAGCCATGGACTGTGTACCTTTCATCTGAGCATGGCCCTAACTCAATGCGGAGAGGCTCAGCCCCAGGGGGAAGATTGCTGTGGGCCCAGAAACTCACCCAGCTGTCTGACAAAGCACAGCAGGGACTGGCATCTCTGGGGTGGAAGGGAACTCAGAGGTCACCCAGTCCAATACCCTCATTTTACACATGAAGAAACCGAGGCACACAAAAGTGGTGAAATGACTTGCCCAAGGTCACACAGGTAGTGTCAGAGGTGGGATTTCAACCCAGGTCCTCATGCTTCACAGCCAATGTTCATTCTACTGTACCACACTGCTTTGTATCCTTGACATATTGAAGTCTAATAATAATAACAGCTAATATTTCCATGACACTTCAAGGTTTTCAAAGTGCTTCACATATCATGTCATTTGATTCTTATTATGACCCTGTGAGGTAAGTGCCATTATCTCCATTTTACACATGGAGAAACTGAGGCATGGAGAGGTTACATCGACTCGCCCAGAGTCACACCGCTAGCAAGTGTTTTAGGCAGTATTTAAATTTAGAGCTTCCCTTCCCAACTCCAAGCCCAGCCCTCTATCCAGTGCACCACCTAGCTATCTCAGACATGTGAACAAATATCTCTCATGTGATGTCTAGTCTCTTATTTGAGCTTTGTAGCAACTGTGGATAAGGGAGGGTAAGTACTGTTGTCGTTTTACAGACGAGAAAAACCAAAGGTCAGAGGAATAAAATAACTTGATCAAGCCCAAGGTTTCCAATTCCAAGGCCCTTGTTCTTTCCACTGCATTATACATAAGGGGAATAGTCCATCATTTATATAGTACCATCTAAGTTAGGTCAGAGGCAGATTGTGGTGGACTTTCTAAGCTAGGCTGAGGAATTTTCGTTCTATTCTAAAGGCAGTAGGGAGCCCCTGATGGCTTTTGAGCAGGGGAGTGACAGAGATGTGTTGAGGAAGGTGATTTTTAAAAGCTGTGTGGCAGATGGATGGAAGAAAAGAGGGACAAGAAGCAGGCAATCTATCAAGGGTCTGATGCTACTGGAAATCATGCTTTGGTGGAAAGTTTTCCTGAGCTGTTGTGGTCAAATAGTCCATCATCCCCATGGCCACCTCTGGCTAGTGAGCCTCATCTTTAGCTGGATGGCTCTCCATAGATGACAGACATAATCCATCATCAGGCCGATGCAAGAAGCTTTCCCAGCCTGGTATAACTTACCAGAGCTGGCCTTCAATTGGCTGAGCCTTTGAAAACCCAGAGTCCCCTGTGCACCATGATGAAGATTCAATGTTAGTGTCTCCAAATACAATCCCTTCTCATTTCTGGCACGAGCCTGAGCCTCTGGTGAGAAGAACTTGGTTCTGTGGGACAGCTAGAGCTTGCAGGAACTGGACATAGTATCTACATTATTGTTGGTGTTTGTCCTTCATTTTCAAAGAGATGCCATTAGTTGATGGCATCATGAGTGATGTCTTGGCTTGTGTATGAATTGGATTGAAGTGAGGCTGAGTTGCACAAAATCTTTAGCCTCACTCTCTCTTCCTGAATCATTAAAGTCCAGTGGCAAGACAAAAGTCAAGATGACTGGTGCAGTGGGTGACTTTGGTGTTTTCAATGCCTGACCAAGCTCCAAGCGCTCCACGGCACCAACTTCAGCAGCTTTCATGGCCATTGGAGCAAATTGTTCTCATTCGCCCATTCCACCAGCAGAAGTCTTCACATGCTTGGGGTAGACATCCCTGTAACTCACCAATGGCTTTGAGGCCTGTCAGTTGCCCTCAACCTAATTTAGCCCATCTGTAGAGCCAGTTTAATGGGGCATGGTGGCTGCACATGCTATAGCTTCTTGGAGCCACAGGCAAGAGTAGGGGGACAGGTGGCCACCAAAGGTGGATGAGCAGCCCTGAAAAGGTCTTGGCAACCCCAGAGGTTCTCATACTCCCTGAATACCCCATATTTACATTATAATGAGATGCCAAATGGCAAGACTTTTGAATTGGACTGCACCAATTGATCTACCCCAAAACAAAGGAATCTAGCTTGGTTAGGTTTGGAATAAAGCGCCATCCACCTACAGGTCTTTGGCTTAGGCCTGCTCTGAGCTGGCAATATTATAGGATCAGAGCTGGAGGAGATGTTATGGACTGTTGTCCAACATCCTTGTTTTTTACAGTCGAGGAGACTAAAGCCCAGAGAGCAGAAGGAATGCTTAGTGGCCCGAGAATCTCATTGGATGTGAAGTCAAGAGATCCTGTCTCTAAAACGTGTGAACAAGGACAAATCACTTAAAGTAAACAAATTAGCAAGTAATTATTAAGTGTTTACCATGTGCCAAGCACTGGGCTGAGTGCTGGGAATATGCATAAAAACAGAAGGGAAGACATTCTAATGTGGGAAGACAACGCATAAATGGGAGCTGAAAAGTAGGGAGAGGAAAGACTGAGAGGAAGGAGAAAGTCTCCAAACCAGAACACAGCGGAAATGTCAGGAGCATGGCTGGCCTGGGCACTTCTACAAAATGGTTGTTCTGAGAAGATCTCACCAATGGGACACTAAGGGGAAGATGTGTCTTGCAGGGTGAGAAAGCTTCGAGGTCATGGTGGAGAAGCCCAGAATCTCAGGGTCCAGTGGAGCTGGGAGAGGGATGATGAGGCTCACTTCTCTGAACCTCAGTTTCCTCACCAGGTCTTTTTGGAAGCATTGAGTAGTGGCTAGAGAAGTGACCTTGGAGTCAGAAAGGTATGAGTTCAAGGCCACCTATGACAAATTCTCATAGTGGAACCCTGGGCAAATCCTTTAACCTCTAAGAGCCTCAACCAACTCTCTAAGACCACACATGGCAAAGCAGTTATCGATCTGAATTGGTAGAGAGAATTTACCAGGAGCTCCCAACAAAGGCCGGTCAAGTGTCTTCTTTTCTCAATTATTCTTCAAAGTAATTACATTTCATCCCAATGCCTTGCCCTAAGTAAATGGCTCCAAACTTAGTGAGTTTCATTTGCCACTTTTCTGCCTTGTTTTGTTGGTACCACAAAGTATCGTACATTTTCTTGATACCTGTCAGGACCTCTGATGTCACCCTCCAAGGCAGCCAGGTGGCCCAGTGGATAGAGTTCAGGGCCTGGAATAAGGAAGACCTAAGTTCAAATTGGACCTCAAATTAGCTCTGTGACTCTGGACAAGTCACTTGACCTCTGTTTGCTTCCATTTCCTCATCTATAAAATAGGAATGATAACAGCACCTACCTTGCAGGGTTGTTCTGAGGATCAAGTGAGATAATATTTGTAAAGTGCTTAGCACAGGGCCTGGCTAGGCAGAAGGGCTAAATCAGGTTAAGGGTAACTGGCAAGCCTCAAACCCATCAGTGAGCTGGGGGGTGTCTACCCCAAGCTTGTGAAGACTTCCCCCTGTGGAATGGGAAGATGAAAACAATTTGTTCCAAGGGCCATGAAGGTGGCTGAAGCAGGTCCTGTGGAGCGCTTAGAGCTTGGTCAGACATCAAAGACGCCAAAGTTGTCTACTTCATCCCAGGCCATTGTCAGTCATCCTGACTTTTGCCTTACCACTGGACTTCGATGACTCAGGAAGAAAGAGTGAGACCAACAACTTTGTGTGACTCTGCTTCACTTAAATCCAATTCACTCTAGAATGAAGACATCACCCATGATGTCATCGGTCCACTTTGAAAATGAAGGACAGGTTGTGCAGTGGATAGAGCACTGACCCTGGAGTCAGGAGGATCTGAGTTCAAATCCGGCCTCAGACATTTGATATTTCCTACCTGTGTGACCCTGGGCAAGTCACTTAACCCCAATTGCCTCACCAAAAAAAAAAAAGGACAAACAACAAGGCACTTAATAAATACTTGTTTCCTGTTTTCAACTATATCAATA